GTCCCTTACCATATTGTGATGCCTGCGGCAACCCATGTGACAACCCAGGGCTGGCCTCCGCTTCGTCCACGGTGAAAGCCGATCCGGCGATCCACAGAGCAAAGTTGATGTATTTCCTCAGCGACCTGCACGGATCAGCTCTAGGCATGACGAAGCGGATATCGTCTTCTTTTGGAAGGCCAAACAAAGTAGTTTTGCTTTCACAACAAAACACACGGCAACAACAATACTACAGCGAGATTCAAAGTTATGCCTTCTTTCTTTGCGTGAACGTTTGGGCGGTGTTATGCAAATCTTCCCACATCGTGATGTAGACATGTGGGGGCGTGTTAGAACGAGCCGTTTTAGGTAGGCGTGGTTGATTCTTAACTTTTATAAAGAATATCTCTTTGGATCTGAGACTTTAGTCTTTGCAACTTTACAGATCTTCTTTATGCACCAAGAGCTTGTAACACTCCAAAGAGAACTTTAGGAAAAATTGAAATCGCATCATATGACCCCTTTAAGCATCTCCACTGCTCATATGTGGAATAAAAAAAAAAACACTTAATTCAAGAGGTTCAAGCCCTGTTTTGTATGACATTCATGGAATGTACTAGTAGAGTAAGAGTGGAGTATTGGTGTGCGTGTCTCTTTAAGAGCTTGAGCCGCGGTTTGCTCTGATACCTCTCATTATTGCTCTGACTCTACCTGACGCAGCTGAAGCAGTGAGTGAGGAAAACCGCCACCAGCATCCTGCACCATGGAGGCGGCCACAGCACCAAAGCCATGGACATTACATGCATTAGGAGGACACTGCTCACTGTTTCCTATTTTAATGTTCATTTTAAGCCAGTGTTGTCGGATAAGAGCAGATGAAGGCGGCATGGAGGAACTTGCCACGGAGAAAGAGGCAGAGGAAAGTCACAGGCAGGACAGCGTGAATTTACTTACATTCATTTTGCTTTTGACACTCACTATCCTCACAATATGGCTCTTCAAACACAGAAGAGTGCGCTTCCTGCACGAAACAGGACTGGCTATGATATACGGTAAAAACGGAGTCTTTTTAACAATGCGAAATGCGTTCGGCATCGTCTGTGTCTCAAAACCGAATGAACCGCCGAGCTCGACAGCAGCATTTTTGGCCCATAATACCGAGTCATCAGAGCTGAATCATGTTTAGTCGCGTGTTTTTGCGCATTTTCTAGATAGGCAGCTCATTAGGTATTGAGACGCAGCCATCATGTAAACCCTTAGCTAAGCCTCATATGAATGAGACTGTGTAGCCGCTAGCTCGAACGAGTGCTAAGACAAACATTGTGCATCGAATGTCATTGTGTTTCAGTGTGGTTCTTAAATGGCTGTGGAGTAGATTGATGTTCTTGAATGCACCATAATAGCTGACACGTGTATTAGCCCATATGCAACCCACAGTTTTGATATTGCATAATCTCTTATGCGTGTATGCAATTTTACACCATAACCAGTAATCCAATCGTGCACTCAGACGCTGGGGTTTCGTTTCTTATTTTGTTTCTGTTATTCCTCCTGTTGAGTTCCTCATACTAGCTTTGAATAATGTGACAGCTTTTGTATTTCAGGTTGGATCAGTCTACAGTAACATGATGTTATGTTGTCTTCTGTGTCAAGAGTCCTCCTCACACCGTTTATAAGCTCTAAAGAACAGTTAACCAAAAAATTGCATTTACTCTTCCTCATGTTGCTTCAAACCATTTTTTTCTGCTGTGGAACACAACATTTTGAAGAATTATACTGGTTGCTTTCTAATGCAGTTGCAATTAATGGCAACTTTGAAACTTAAAAAAAAAAAAAAAGAAGCCCACTAAAGCATCAAAAATGTTGAATTGTTCACTATTGTCCGGGTCTTTTGAAGCCATGTTACAGCTTGATTTGAAATTTAAGTCATCATTCATTGAAACATTGACATCGGCCCTAGTGTTCATCAAGAAAGAGTGATCACTGCACTTTTGAATCTGAATCATAAATCGCTCTTTTTGAATCTTGAGTTGGTTTATCCAGTACACAAAATCTAGTTGCACTGTTCAACAGATTGTTGGAAGGAAAGGCTATCATTGCATCACTTATGACAATTATTTTTATGATAATTTTATGGCATTCTTTTTGAAGCTTTTACAGCTCTCTCCCCATTCATTGTAATTGCATGGACAAAAGGAGCAGTGCAATTCATCAATATGTCGTCTTTTGTGTTACACAGAAGAAAGAACATCATATGGGTTTGGAATAATATGAGGGTGATTAAATGATGACACAATGTTATTTTTTGATGTACTAATTCATTAAGTGTGAAAAATCAAAGGCCTTCACCAAGGTCAGCAAACATCTGTCTTCACATGTGTCATGTCTTCAGTGAAAATGAGAGCTCTATCATCAGTGGTTGCTCTGAAGTTCAAAAGCATTACTTTGACACGAGGAAAAGACTGGGCTGAAACAAGCTAGCTGCTACTAGCACTATTTGGTTTCACACCGTTTCAGTAAATATTGATTAGATTAATATGATCGGCATTACCATATTCATGCATCTAAATTGATGACCCTGGGGTCTTTTTTTGTGACTGACTAAGCACGTACCTGTCTGACATTGAGCAGCAGGTATGGTTTAAAATGCATGGCTTAAAATGCAATGTTAGTGAAGAGCCACATTCAGCACGTTTACTTTTGCTATTAAATAACAGCATTTACAACAGTTCACCAAAAGTCTTGGGGACTTCCAATTCATTTTGCAGTATTCTCACTGTGGAATTAATAATAGGGGATTTTATACTAAATGCAGTAGACAGTGGTTGGTGCTCTGTGTGAAGTTTAAACAGAGGTACATACACTACCATTTAACAGTTGAGTCAGTATGATTATTTTTAAAGAAATTAAATTAAATTAAAGTCATATGATGCGATTTTCAATTTTTCCTTTCTCTTTGGAGTGCCTCGTTTGTAATGGGTTTTAATGTTTTTGTCTCGTCGCTCCGGCCGGACACGGCATCAACAGTATGTGAGGGGTGTAACATTTCCGTCTCACTTTTGACGTATTCGGCCAATCACAACGCATTGGATAGCTGGCCAATCACAGCACACCTCGCTTTTTCAGACCGATGAACTTTGTAAAAATCGACCCGTTTCAAAAAGGCGGGGCATAGAGGAGAAACAATAATGTACAGTATGTGGAAAATAATGTGTTTTTTGAACTTTAAACCGCATAAACACATTTCATTACACCAAATACACCAAATAATGTTCTTTTTAGCAGCATCATATGACCCCTTTAATACTTTTATTCAGCAGGGACACATTAAATTGATAATATGACAGTGGAGACATTTGAAACGTTACAAACGACTTTTATTTTAAATGAATGCTGCTCGTTTTTCGAACTTTATGTTCAAAAAAGAATCATGAAAAACTTTCCTCAAAAATATTAAACTGCACACCTGTTTTCAACATTGCTAATAAAAAGAAATGTTTCTTGAGAACCAAATCAGCTGCTGAATAAGACTGGCTGCTGACAATTCAGCTTTGTCATCACAGGAATAAATTACATTTAAAGGATATTAAAATAGAATAAAAAAAAAAAGTAATAATACTTAATAGTATTACTAACTTTACTGTATTTTTCATCGAATAAATGCAGTCTTGGGGAGCATAAGACCCCTTTAATTCAAAAGCATTAAAAAAATCTTACCAGATACCCAAATGTTTGAATGAAATTGTAAAAAAAAATTAATATTTGCTGCTCCTCTCATTTCAAATAGTACATGTATGTCAAGGCTATTCTGTTTCTACTAGTTTTTTTTTTTACTTTTTCACGTTATTACTACTTTTGACAGCCTGGTTTGTACTGAAACTTGATTTCAAACTGGTCTCTTTCCACATACTCAAAATGGATCTTGTATATTCCTATCCATCAAACTCTCCATCAGAGCTTTCTCTTGTGTGTAATTAGCTTTGATAGTATGCACTAGCTTCCTTCCTATTAATCTGCCCCATTCTACTCCTTGCACGTTTTTTTAGGATGAATTGCACTCAATCACAAAGCAGATTTGACTTCAGCTGTTGCATTGAACCAGTTTGGCTCAAAATAGTATTTTTTCCTTGTTGAATCAAGGTTGGCATGCTTTGGCTCTCAGAACAGAGACACCTGCTCACTGGCTGGACAGATGGTAACGTTACAGTTGTGTCTACTTGGGTGTGTTTGGTTTTCGTTCTATCTGTATTTCCTACTGTGTATTACAGCATTCGGGCCGGGCTGTCAAGGGCTTTCTGCTCTCCTATCCCTCCTGGAGAACAAGAGAAGATCCATGTAATGTGTTGTAATTGTATTTTGGTTTGGTGTACTGTGACATATGCAAGAGTGCAGGGGAAGACAAACACTAAGCTGCATTAGCTGGATTCTGATTGGACGGGAGATGTCCGAGCTCACTCATTGTCTTTGCCGTGTTCTAAATGTGATGCTAACTGAATTACTAATGCCCTGCACATGCTCATTTAAGCTTTGCTGCACACAGCATGTGTGTATCGTTTTGTCCTTCAGTTGTATACTCACTCTTCCATATGTTGAGTTTAGTGCTGGAAGTCGTACTCTGGCTTGTCTACATGCTGATGGCCACTGTAGCTTTCGGGATTTGTGTGTTGTTACATTGGCGTACACACACACACACACACACACACACACACACAGACAGAGTCTGGTCAGCTATCCTTGTAGGGACTCTCCATAGGCGTAATGGTTTTTATACTGTACAAATTGTATTTTCTATCGCCCTACACCAACCCTACACCTAAACCTACCCCTCACAGGAAACTTTCAGCATTTTTACTTTCTCAAAAAACTCATTCTGTATGATTTATAAGCTTTTGTACCCATGGGGACCTCAATCTAGGTCCCCACCGTGACACGAGTCTGTGTGTATTCAGGTTTAAGTCCCCACCAGGATATATAAACCTGTACACACACACGCTGTATTACCCCTCCCCTATGTGCATTCAGACCTCTCCCCTCTAATTCAGTTTCACTGCAGACATTAGGCTTGCTTTTACACTGAAATAGGAGATGCTTTTCTTAAAAAAACATGATTAATAGAACATCTTATACCATTTTTATTTCTTCTCCTTCCAGTCACCTGAGCTGTGAATGCCATGTGACTTATGACTCTGAAACTACAAGAAAATGATGTCATGATGTGTATATTATTATTATTATTATTATTATTATTTTCAGAATCAGGTGCAGTTTTAACCAAAACATTTTTTTGTACTTTTGACAAAATATACAAGAATAAGGACAAATGATGTTTGATCAGAATTTCTCGTGGTCTACACGGGTTTGCACCGGACATGTGAACTCTTCCTCTCATAAGTGCGTACAGCCAAATAAAACATTCAGGCAACAGGAAGTGGTGCAATTCTAAAAGTAGTGTGAAACATTTAGTTTGAAAAATTCTTTAGCTTCATGAAAAAAAAATCTGAATATAGTTATTTTGTTAACTGGTTAGCAGCATTTAAAAAATATTCTGGACCAAGTAAAAGGGATTTTGTTCCTGTTCCTTATATTGTTCAGCAAAGTAATGTTTTTAGTATCCTTGAACTGATAGAGGGGCAGTTATAGTGTCTACCAGCAGGGATAACTGCTAAGCTAACTGGTTCATGCTAACCTCAATCATTGACTCCCTGGATCCTGGCTCTGGATTGTGAATCTGTTTACATACAGAGTGTGTTTTCTAAGATGTCTGGATTACAGATTTGGGCACAGAATTGATTATGTGTATCCTTGGATGTTAATTAATTGAAATTGTGGCCAATGTAATTTTGCTTTGTATCATATTTTATGTTCCTTTTAGCTGAAACTGACGTTAAGACTTTTGCTGCCTGTGAACAAAGCCAAGTTATTAGCTTTACTTTTGAGTACCATAACATGCACTGTCAGAAAATGTGCAAAAATCACATCTTTAGGGGTACTATATCCGGTAAAAAAATAAAATAAAATCTGCAGATTTTTGTTGAATGTACTCAAATAAAGTGAAATGTGCTGCTGTCCACATACTCCCAGAATAAATGTGCAAAAACTTTATCTTTAGGGTATGTATTTGACTCCACAGAAATCTGCAGATTTTCCCTATGAAATCAGTACTGTCTAGACCTAGCATTGGTTTAAAGTAGTGTAATTTGCCTGATTTTAGCAGGAGGTTGTGCGATTATGGTGTTTTTTTGCCTCTGTTCTTGTTTCACAGCCCATGCTGTGTGTGCTGTTGACTTCCTCTGGCACTTCATTAGTATGGAAATACCCTCCAACAGATTTGTCACAGCGGCTCTCATCTCTACTCCCTGTCATCACACAGAAACCAATCTGCTTATACTGTGTTTTTAAGGAAAGAAGTGTAATTTCTGTGCCACAGCAAAAATGGATTGTTTCCAAACAAGTTTCCTTTTTCACAAACTAAGTGTATGTATTGAATGTGTATCTGAGTGGTTGATCTTCTGTGTGTCGAACAGGTCTGTTGGTGGGTGTTATTTTGCGATATGGCATCCCCTCCACCAGTTACCATAATAAAACTCCTCCGAGTTGCACCCTGCAGGAGGGTCCTGTCAGCACGGTGCTCCTCAACGTTAGCGGAAAGTTCTTTGAGTACACACTCAAGGGGGAGATCAACCTTAAAGAAATCCACAGTGTGGAGCAGAATGACATGTTGCGCAAGGTATGTCAGCAACAGCATACATACACGCATAAAAACGGTTCTGATAATCCTGCAGCAGAGGTTTGTCAGAGGAAGACATTTTATTTTGAGCTTTAATTTCTGTCACCTTGTTGTTATCTAAAACTAAATCTAATAAAATTATGTTTGTTAGTTGAAATAAAATAAAATTAATATTAAATTGAAACACAAACTAAAAACTAAACTGGAATGAAAATTAAGGAAAGCTAAATAAAAAAAAAATAAAAAAAATACACATAAACAGCACATAAAAATGACTCAAAAAAATGAAAATATAAAAATGAAAGCTACATCAAAATATCAATAATCACTATAATAGTATATAAATAATATTAACATTGTTGTGCAGATGTTTTAGACTTTGCATTCCAAGGCAGTAGCAAGGTCCAGTCTTTAAGACTGAGAATAGTTGTTTAAGAATGTTTTTGTCCTTATCCATTAGCTTAAAGGGATAGTTCACCCAAAATTACAAATTCTATTATCATTTACTCACCTTCAAGTTGTTCCAAACCTGTAAGAGCTTCTTTCTTCTGTTGAACACAAAATATATATTTTTTTGAAGAATGTGGGTAACTAAACAGTTTCTGGTCCCCATTGACTTCCATAGTATTTTTTCTATACTATGGAAGTCAGTAGGAGCCAAAAATATTTTGGTTACATTTGGCCACGTTCTTCAAAATATCCTCTTTAGGTTTAACACCATAAAGAAACAAATTACAAATGATGAAATTAAATGATAAATATCCTCTGCTACTGATCTGAACAGCAAACAGACAGCAAAGATAAAAACTGTAAATTAGTCATTAGAAAGCCTATCATTATGACACCTCAACATCCTCCTAATTTTTGTATAAACCCAAAAATACAAGCCCCAACGTCTCACCACAACTTCCCTTTTCAATAGAAAAATACATCAACAAATAATTAGCAATTGCAATTTTAAACTATTCATGAGGTCTTTAACCAGATTAATAACATTTGTTTATTTTAAAAGATTTACACATTTTGTCTATTACAAGCAATTGTTTGTAACAACTAAATATTTTTCTTCCAGTTGACCTTTGACCCAGAGGTGTTCTTCAACATTCTGCTACCTCCCATCATATTCCATGCTGGATACAGCCTCAAAAAGGTATGTGTTTTATTGTGAACTGGGATTTACCTTTACTCCGTTTTAGCTTTCGTTTTACTTGTTTAGTAGAGCGTTCATCCATAAAGGTGCTTCTTTACCACTTTACATTATGACATTTTGAGATATGATCTAGTCCAGTGTTTCCCAACCGGGGTGCCGTCTGTCAAGAGCAGGGGTGCCG